CGGGAGGGGGTGGGGGGGAGGGAGGGAATGAGGGAGGGAGGGAGGGAGGGAGGGGAAAGACGAACCACGTGAACGAGTGAAGCTGCTGCCAGGGCAAGAGTGTACCAGACGTAGAACTGACCAAAAAGGGGGGAGGGGGGGAAAGACGAACCACACGCGATTGAAGCTGCTGCCAGGGCAAGATAGTAGCAACCGAAAGAAAAGGGGGGAGGGGGGAAGGGGGGGTGTAGCCAAGTCTTATGCCGCAAGGACCATCAAGACCCGGGAGACGGGGGAGGTGTGCGGGATGATGAGGGGGTTGCGCGGTGCGTGCATGGATAGGTACATGGCTGGATGACTGGACGGAGATGAAACAAAAGAAATAAAAGACGAGGGGTGATGATAAATACTCTTCGTCGTCACTCCCAACATTTGCGAGCTGCTGAAGGCCAAGTCAGCTTGGCGAGCTGACTGGGATGGGCTGGGTGCAGAACTGAAAGGCGTTGGGTGTGTGTGGGGCTGTGGTGGGCGAATGCTAACAACATGTGTATATGTGTATATGTGTATATGTGTATATGTATATATGTATACATGTATATATGTATATATATGTATATATGTATATGTGTGTGTATATATACAGGGGGGAAGTAGGTTTTGTATAGGCGGGAGGGGGAGGATTTGTCCCACCAAGGTCATCGCAGCCTCACCCCCTCCTCCCAGGGTCTGTCCTCCAAAGCAGCTTTGCAACACATATTTTTTCCATAAAACGTATGTTGTCCCTAAAACACACACGTAGAGGCACGCACGTCCTTACTTGGGGGGGCACGTTGGGGTACTGCGGCGGGAAGTACAGGTCGAACACGAAACAGCCGCCGCTGTACGGCGTGTCCTCGGGGCCCACCACAATCACTTTCCATAGCTGTACAGCAGTCTCGTCCACTCGTACGAACACACTGGACGACTCTGAGAGCGGCAACAGGGACTCCAGGGAAGCCACCTAACAGATAGACAGACAAACAGACAGACGGACAGACAGATAGACGGACAAAGGGAATATGCGCATGTACGTCTCCACACACGTGATCTAGGACCCCGGCCTGTGGTCAAAGCAGTCCCGGGAAATGCTGAGCGCCCCGGGGGGTTGGGATTTAAAAAACCCTCCACGATGACGGAGACGACAGGTGAACGTGGGGGGTTCGCGGGAGCTGTTGATACATCGCACATGTTTATGTGTAGGTGTATGGGAGCCTAGATGTGTAGAACAACAGCTACAAGGACACGCCGACTGTACAGCCTGGCTTGTGCTCTCGCTCATTTTAAGACGGCAGTTCAGAGGGAAACGAAAACGACAGACAGAGAGACAGATAGACAGACAACAGACAAGAAGCAGGGAGGGCGCGGCGCTGTGCACATCCCTGAAGAACATTCGGCCTCCAATGCGTGAGCAAGCAGGCAGGCACACATACACATACAGGCATACACACGCAGATGCACAAACTGGCGCACACACACATACACACACATACAAAAGCACTCACACATACACACACATACAGACATACACACACACTGCGCGTACACCCGCGACCCCCATTACCCCGCTCCCCAAGGTCAGCAGCACACACGAACCTCCTTAGCCAGCCGCACCGCCCGTGTCCGCGGTGCATGTTGCTCGGATCGCGAATTGGATGCGTAGTGGTGTGCTCGGCCTAACCCCGACACCGTATCAACCTGCAACGTACCCCCCCCGCCGTACGAGTACGAAAGAAGGGGTACGAAAGGGGGCCGGGACAAGTACGATGGAGCTCCGAAAACTATTATACAGGTTGATTCAAACCAGTCCAAACCAAACCGTTTCCAAAAGCTTACACCATGCCCCGCCTGCACGAGAAACATACATCTACACCCTCACACGGTACTGGGCTGTGCAGCTCCTTAAGGGACTCCGGTGGGGAAAGACGAACCACAAACGAGTGAAGCTGCTGCCAGGGCCACACGCGGGACCCCAGGGGGGCCGCTGCGAGGCCTTGCTGTGGCCCGCACTCGAGTCAACCATTACCTTACTGAGATAAGTAGTTAGACAAATACTCACCAAAAGACAAATACTTTTACTAAATAAAGAATTACTCACTAAAAAGGTACAATTAAGGGAAAGCCTCTAGTGCTCTTTCCTGAAGAGTTATGAAGGAAAGGAAATGCAAGCAGCGCTGCGTCCGCTGCAGGCGGGCACACCACCCCAAGGCCCACAATCAAAAGCAGGATAGGGGAGGGAAGGAAGGCAGAGCGGGTTGGCTAGGGATGCGAACCGTGCTGCGCTCCTTACCACACCCGCACCCGCACCCGCACCCGCAACCCCCGTACTCAATACCCCCCTACTTCTCTCGTCCTCAGGGTGACATCTTTTCAGCAGGTTTTCTAGCTAACAAAAAGCTAACCCAGCTGACCACAGACGAACGCACCAGCAGCGGCTTCAGCGTCGCCACGTACAAGCTGGGCCCCGTCGCTGAACCCCCCGCGCTAGTGCTGGCCTGCGCGCCGCTAGCTGCCCGCTCGCCGTCAGCTGCCGCCCCTGCCGCGGCGGCGTTTGCTGCCGTAGCATCCTCCTGCCCCTGCCGTGACTGCGCCGCCGCCGCCGCCGCCGCCGCTGATGCCACTGCGTCTCCCGCTGCTCCTGCCGCCAGCGGCAGCGGCGGCTGCGGCGGCGGCTGCGCCGCGGCCGTCATCGTCGCCATGTTCGCGTCCAGGTAGAGCGCTAGCTGCATGATGATCTTGGCCATACGTTGGGTAGCCTCCGCCTCCCGCGTCGCGCTCTCCGCTGCAATGGCGATAAAGAAAGGCCCAGATGGCACAGGGTCAGAGGGGGCAGAGGGGGTCGCATCTGAAGGGCTGCATCGGCGGCCCCCTGCGCAAACGGTCAGGGACTTTTCAATCGACAGCAGGAGACAGCAAAGGAGCCTCGCACGATGGTGGGTTCAACCTCACCACCACGTACATGTGCACACATATATAATTAGCACCAACAAGAGGATGCATTCATCTGACTTACCTTTGTCGGGTGCGCGTACGGCAAATGGCAAGACGGCGGAAACGGAGGGCCCCGAGGGAGGCACCTTGTCCGTCTGAACGGTTGCGGGTCCCAGCACCTGCGTGATGTAGATGATAGGTAGGACATTAACGGCGACGCCGACAGACGGGGGCTTAAGCGACACAGCGGATAGCAGCGGCGAGGGTTAAGCGACATAGCGGATAGCGGCGGCCACAGCAGCAGCAGCAGAGTAGTAGCAGCAGTGTTGTTGTTTTTGCATGGGTGAGCGCAGAGGCGACGGCAAGAAGCCACGGGATTGCTCCCGAGGTCGCTCCGTAGTGCAGCGGGAAGCGGATCCACATCCCATCTCACGCTCACGTTTAGGTACATCTTGGCGGCGGAACGCAGCCCCGATGTGATGGTGGCCGCCACACTTCGTCCCGTCGACGACCTTCCTTGGTTCGTGCACCAGCCGGAAGAGGAGGAGGAGGTAGCAGCAGCAGCAGCAGTAGCACCGGTGGGCCCCTGCGGGTGCTGCTGCTGCTGCCGCTGCTGCCCCTGATCCGTCTCCATCCACAACAGGTCCTGGGTGCCCGGGCGGCACAGCTCCCGAAGCACCACCAGCAGGGCCGAGTAGTACTTGTGCCTGTGAGCGACCCACCGACCCACCGACCCAGGGGTAGAAGGGGGTTAAAGGGGGGTGGAGGGGGGAAAGACGCATCACGAGCGAGTGAAGCTGGTGCCATGGAAAGACTGATGCGGGTAGAGGGAGGAGGGAGTTCATATGATGATGATGATGATGATGTTGATGATGACGACGATGCAAAAAGCAGTACATACAGACACACTACGTAAAATGCGCAACAAGGGTAAGGCTCATATATATATATATGTGTGTGTGTGTGTGTGTGTCTCTTGGGGCCCTGATTCCCAACTCCCCCGAGAGGATTAACAACAACAACAATCTCCGCGCTTCATCTGTAAACTGTGTGTGTGTGTATTTACGCTGTGTATTACACCACCTTCTAGAGTTGCGTTGCCATTTCTAAGGTGCAAAGAGCCCATACGAGCCATAAAAACGTACTTTAGGACTTTTTCCGGTCTGCTTCAAACTGTTTTTCGGACTGTCTACGGGTTGGCTTTGGCCAGGCAAGGACTGAACGACAGAAGGAACAACTCGCTCCCCGCACACCCCCTCTTTGATGCAGCTGCTCTCGATCCGGCCTTACCTACCGTGCTTTTTATCCTACATCACATTGGCCCATATCGCCTCGCCTCGTATTGCCACATAGGCCTAACAGCCCCAAAGCATACCGCTCCACTGCCACACCGCCACACCCGGAGGATTATTATCCCCTTGCCACAACCCTGGAAAAACACAACAATCAAGAAACCCGAAACTCCCCACCCAACTCCCCCCCCCGGCACACCTGGCGCCCATGTCAGCAAACGACGCCATGTGAAGCTCCCGAACAATGAAAGGAACCAGACACGAGTCCCGGAGGACAGCCGCGCAACGCTCCGGGCCCAACCGCGGCTCCGTGTCGGCCGTGTCCATCGCACCGTCGCTGCCGCCACCACTGCCGCCGCTGCCAGATGCAGCTACTTCGGCTGTAGCAGTAGTGTAAGCAGCAGCAGCAGCAGCAGCAGCAGCAGTTGTCGTTGTTGCTGCTGCAGTCGACGGGTCGGCGGCGGCGGCGGCTGCGGTCTCCTGTGTCGCCGCCATCCCTGACCCCGCCGAAGCGCTAGCCGCCGTCTCGACTCCTTCCATGGCCTCGGCTTCATCCGCACTCCCCCCACCTTTGTCGTCGCCAGCTGCGGCGCTAACGCCGCCGCCACCGCCGCCATCCCCTCCGCCACGCGACGCCGCTGCTGCCGCCGCCGCATCTGAGACTCCCCCGCGGCCCCCTACAAGGGCCTTACCTTCTCCACCTTGTCCCTGCCGTTGCTGCTGTTTTGCCCTCCCCTGCGGCCCATGATGTGGCTGCTGCTGCTGCTGTTGTTGCTGCTGGTCCTCGACCTCCTGCGGTAGAAGGGGCCGCGGTCCAAGCTCCCGTACGAGGCTGCAGTACAAGTCGTCCAACAGCGCCTGGATTTCGGAGTCGCGCGCGCGCTGGGCCGCCTCCGTCGCTTTGGCGTCCCATTGCTCCCCTTTAGGCGGCAGGAGGAGACCCCCAACGTAGCCGAGGATATGCTTTTTTACATCATTAAAAAGATTCACATCTCATCAAAGCGCGAGAAAACAAACTGCTGCAACAGCAGCAACAACAGTAGTAATAATAACATTAAATAATAACAACAAAACGACGCATTCACGACATAGGAATGCGGGAAACGCAAGTAAGGACACAGCTATGGCGAAGCTGGCGGCGGGGGGGGCCTTTCCCAATCATTTAGGACTCGTCTTTGGCAGTCCGTGCAGTCGGGAAATCAACAGAGCTGACTCTTTCCGACTTCCTGCGTGTATTTTCTCCACTCCGCCGCTAACTCCGCCGTTAACTCCAAGTCAAACCGCTAGGGGCCAGGCCCAGCAGGCCCTAGCAGCCGCCGGGGCCCCCGCAACCTCAACCCCCGAACAGCCCCTTGGGGGTGTTAAAGACGGTTTATCCCAACTCACCATTCCTATCGTGGCCGCTGCCGTACCCCGTGCCGCGTGCCCAAACTACCTCTCGAGCGCGTTTCGCCCCCGCTGGTTCGGAGCGGCCCCGCTTCTTGCCCGCCTCTGCCAGCGCTTGCAGCCGAGCGGCGTCCTTGTCGTACGAGTCCCGCGCGCTGAATGGGCAGGATGGATGCGGAGGCGGAGGGGGAGAGGGAAGTTCGTGCGCGTGAAACTGGCAGTTGGCGGTTGGCAGTTGGTGTGTCAGAAAAGCACAATTGAATGTTCAAGGGGCGGCCCCCAGTCCTATTTTAACAGCACAGCAGCTGAACATCGTCATCACGCACGTATACGCATGTAATTACGCAAAAAAACAAATGGACACCGCGCACTTTTCACCCACTTTCGTTTCAGCCATACTAATCTACCTGTACAAAAACAAATATTAATACAAATTATAAGCCAACACAAATGAATAGAAGGATAAGAACACAACACGCCCCAAAACAATGCTCCAAAAAAAGATTGATGGATACATCAATTTTGAAAGTAATACACAAAAAATGCTATTACAACCATTAAATAAAGGATTCGTGAAGGAAGCGCAATAGAATGTATCTGTCAAAGATGCAACTCACGCGTACAGCTCCGCGATGTCGGGCTGCTGGATGCATGTGGGCGCCACCCCGCTGAGTGCCTCCAGGCGGGCAAGCCCTCGCTCCAAAGTCGAGTAGGTTGAGTTGGGGTGGCGACGAATATCGTTGGCGGGGTTGTCCAGGTCTACACAAGCATTGGTCTGCGGGGAAGAAAGTAATTTGTATTGACGGTTATTGCCGTTGTAGCGGTTGCTGCGGAGCAGTTGCAAGAGTTGGTTCACGGAAAAATTCTCCCTCTTAAATACCTCTTAAACAGCACCCGCTCAAAATCTAATCCCCCAAAATAATCCAGCCCTCTTTTGCATCTGATGTCATAATGAATAGTTGCTCAACTTGTCAAAAGCACAATCTGGCCCAAATAAATTTACCGTCAATTTCTCCCTCACTTCCAAAGATGAAATGTAGGTTACAAGTTCCGCATGAGCGCGGTGGGGGCCCGGGGGAGGCGACCGTAAAACCCCTCCAGGAGGTGGTGTGGGGGGGAAGAGGGTCCGGGGCCCCACGGACGGTCGACTGTCATCATTGAAAACTATTACAGCACCGGGAGAGGAGCGGGACGTTAACGTCCCTTTCCCGCTCGCCCGGGCTCCTTCGACAATAACAGCAGAGCCGCACATACGTAACAAAGAAACCACCCCCACCTCAGCCCTCACTCCTCGCCCCCCACCTCCAAAAATGCCTTGATCTGCCCGATGGTGTCCATCGCCGGTCGCCAGGGGTCCCAGTTCTCCAGTTGCAGCATGGGGTGTGAGGCCACAGCTCCCAGCAGTGGGCCAACAAAGTGCGGCCACACAATTTCTACCGAGGGCGGGAAAAAGGGGTGCAGCCCGCGCATGAAGCGCACCCGCAGGCGCACAGTCGAGTAACAGTACCGCCGGGACACCTCCCTCAGGTCCTGCGGGGGGGGGGGCAGGAGGAGGGAAAGACGAACCACAAACGAGTGAAGCTGCTGCCCCAGGGCTGCCAGGAGGAGGAGGAGGAGCAGCAGCAGCAGGACGAGGAGCAGCAGCGGGGCGCGCGCACAGGTGTATGTGGAAAAATAAGGGGAGGGAGAAGGGGGGGGTATTACGTGGCGTGTGACGTGATGCAAACTAAAAAAACCCTAAAGAAAAAACAACCGCAGTGCAAAACATACCCAATGCCGAAGGGATCAAAAAAAAAACAATGACGCGAGAAAAAACAACTGCGCGCGGCTCCCGAACCTCTAAAGCAAAGAAATGTCCAAAATATCGTCCCATAGAGGGAGAGAGGGTGTGTGTGGAGAGGGTAGGCTAAGATAAAGGCAACCACATGCCCGCAAACGGGAGCAGAGAGCTAACTGCATCAAACGCTCCGGAGTTCAAAGAGCCTATACCTCTCCGCCTGCCGCGTTTCATGTTTCATCAAGCATTCTCAGGGTTGAAACACTTTGAACAAGATTTGGAATGCCAGGTCTTCGTACAAGGTAATATAAAAAAACGCCAACCTCGCACACAGAGGTTAGCCCCGTGAATTATATGTATATGTCGATACGGGTCGTGTTCCTTAGTAAAACTCAACTGTTCCTTAACAAACGAAAAACTTAATTGTCCCTTAAAACAAACGAAACACTTGATTGTCCCTTAATAAACGAAAACCTTAATTAAAGTTTTTAAAAGAAAACAATTGTATGCAGAGATGGAAATGCAAATAATGGCGCTATCCATGTAAGTGCCGAAAGTACACAAGCCACTCCAAAAGCTTCAGACCCCTGAGGAACTACGCTGACCCATGGGTCATGGTAGAGGGCTATCCAGGAGCAAGTTTCAAAAAGGACAGTTCCAAACGAACACTTGCAACCTGTATGTATACCGTCTGAACACCCGCTCCTTGCTCTAGGCCAAACAATGAACAACTCGTTTGCCATGGACACGACGACATGCAACTTTTTTTGTTTTGTGTCCCTTTTTGGCATAATTTGTGCGCTAGCTGACGCCATATTGTCACCCTAAGCTAGTATTCTTCTTGGCCGTTTAATAAGGCCTTCTCGCAGTGTTGAATTGTGCTGCGCGGGTAGCGCTCCTTTAGGGCGTTTTGCACATTGGGACGCCCCGAGGGCGATGTAGAAAGACAAGGCACGATGGGTGTGTGGGTGTGGGTGTGGGTGTGTCACTGTTTCTCACCTTTGCTAGGGCGCTGCTCTCCGAAAAAGAGCCCAGATCCACAATCCAGTGGTAGAGGTCGTCCCCTCCCGTCTCCACAGAGCAGTCCACGTGGCGGGCGCGGAGGAAGTCCAACAGCTCACGTGACAGCATTGAAAACGCCTCACGGGGGTTGAAGATCTGCCGCTTGGCGGCAAGACCTTCAATTCAACATTTTAATGCAAACGTCCCGGGGTTATGAACAAGGGGCGGGGACCGGCGCTGTGTTAGGAGGGCTGGAAAGGAGACACGGGAGACCGGCAAATAGGGGGGAAGGTGCGAGGGAGGGGCCCGTTCCTGGTTCATTTATGTAATAACACTGGTCCCTCCCTCCATCTCCCCCTCCCTCCCTCTCCCCCTCCCTCCATCTCCCCCGCCCTCCATCTCCCCCTCCCTCCATCTCCAACTCCCTCCATCTCCCCCTCACTCCATCTCCCCCTCCCCCTTTGGTCAGTTCTACGCCTTTTGGTCAGTTCTGCGTCTGGTACACTCTTGCCCTGGCAGCAGCTTCACTCGTTCGTGGTTCGTCCATCCCCCTCCCTCCCTCCTTCCCTCCCTCATTCCCTCCCTCATTCCCCTGCACTACTGGTTGGTAACTCTTAACGTCGGCGGTTAATCGTTTTTATGCATGTCGTCCGGGTAGTTCCGCTGCAAACCACCCCTACCCCGGCGCCCCTACCCCACCTACACCCTCCCCTGACGTCCCCCCTACCTTGCGTACTGGACAACACTTGCTTGCCTGACTCCGCTTCCGCCGCCGCCTCCACGGCCTGCTCGTATCGTTCCCACCTACAACCACAGCGGGACGGCGCGGAGAGGGCCGTGGAGCGAATTGATGAAGTTGGGGCGGCGTGAGGTAAAAACTCTTTCGCAATGGGATGCAAACAGCCCACCACGCGCACCCACCAGCGCCGTGGTGGATGGATTGGTTGGGAGGTACATGTATACATGAAGGCCAAGAGGTGGTGGCTCTTTTTGGAGGCGTCCGGAGGACATCATTTCACGAGCTCTAGGCCGTGTTTAGCTGGCCCGCGCCCTGCGCACGCGCGCTCGCGGGGATGGCCACGACTGGGCGGAGGCGGAGGAAGGGGTGAGATGAGGAGAAAGACGAACCACACACGATTGAAGCTGCTGCTGTGAGAGGAGGAGGCGCGGACTGGGACTGTGTGTTGTGTGGGAGGGGAAGGAGGGGAGGGTAACAACGCGGATTGGTGTGGCCGATGAAGTGGTTTGTAGGCGGGAAGCGCTCGCAAAGGCCCATGCCCAAAGCCGTGGGTGGGTGTACACCTGTTTCCTGTACAACCCAATGTTTAGGAAGTTGAACCATATGCTCGTGTGCCGCCCGCTTCCTGGCCACCACAAAACCACACATACAGGCGCGCGTTCTTATAGGGTGTGACCAGGGCTCGGTGGCCTTAATGCGAAGCCCGCCATCTCGGCCGCCCTAATGGATAGTGTTCGGACCTTCCAAGGCTCATGCTGCAAAGAATGATCAAGTCACGTTCCTCGTCATCCTCGTCGTCATCCTCGTCGTCATCGTCACCGCTTCCGTCGTCGTCGTCCTCGTCGTCTTTCGCCGGGTCGTCATCATCACCGGAGACATCGTCATCGCCGCCGTATCCACCGCTGCCTGATGCGACGTTGTCCCAGTTGCCATCAGACCCCTCCTCCATGTCGTGATCGCTATCGGCACGCTTAGCAACAGCGCCATCGTCCTCCACGCTGATGGCCGTGCAAGCCGGCGATGTGTCCATGATACAAAGTCTTGACACGCAAAACACCTATACGGATATAGTGTTTGTGGGCGCGGCAGACGACGGATTATCCTAACTACAGGCGTCGTGATGTGCAGGATAGGTCCAAAGGCCCCCAAAAGGCAACTGCCGAGCAACCGTAGAACAAACTGGCCCGGACTGCGTCCGATGGAAAGCCGTCCTATGCTTCCTATCCAAATACATCGCCTTACACCAAAGCAGATCCAACACTTATAGCGTACCAGCGCACGATTCGTGTGTAACGCCGCTTGAAAGCCCCCCAGAATCTGTCCGAAGACGTATGATGGCTCAAAACGATTTAGGCAAGACGCCTCAATGCATGCTCTAGCGTGCAAATAACCGTACCACCCTGATAGCCGAGCGTCGGGCTAAACATAAACCTTGCCTACCCAAGTTTCTGTTTATACCAAGCTCCTTATTACTATGCCATGGTATTAAAACACATCGTCATATTCTTTACATGCAATCGTGGTTCTGCAAGGCAAAAGGTATGATGAGGCCGGCACAGGTTGTAACATATGTAGTACGGGAAACCTGCGCATTCTGCCTGTGTAACAAGGGATGTGCAAGGCCGAAAAAAATCTTAACCGAACACAAGCGTGTGCGTGGCGCGCCATGGCAGCAGTACAGCGCCGTAAGCGGCTGTCTGGCGAACTGGTGCGAGCTAGGACTGGTCCTTTATCCATGGAGGACAGATACCAAAACGTCGTATCGTTGAGACTCATATGAATTATGCGGACAAAGCGGTGCCAAACTTATTCAAGTTGCAGTTAGGACAGTTCGATTAGGAGAAGGCCTCGAAGCATACTCCATCGTTTTTAGAGCAGCTTAATTTGCGAAGAACTCTCTAAGCCACAAACTGAGACGAACTCTATCGCCGCTATGAGCGGCGGCGAGCCAACGCTTGAAGTACCCGTCTCTCGCGGTTCACGCCTCCATTTCTCATGGGGACTTGGCTCTGAGTTACGCCTTCTGGATATCCAAAATCCAAACACTGAGCAGGGAGGCAACGCCGGCTCTGCGACGCGAGTCTGTTGGTAAGCAAAGTATGACCGGTTTTGGCGGGCCTGCCTTTCGCAATTTCTTTCGCCCCTAGACTTCCAAACGTCCTGTCCCTCTTCCCCTTCGTATCTGCCCCCTTATGTCCTCCTGCCTGCTGTCTGCGTCTGCGTTGGCGTCCAACGTGGTCGATGGGTGCCACCAGGGGCCAGGCGAACAGCAACAGCCGTGCTATCTCCTTTGGAACTGCCGAGCAGTATGCAGAGGTACAGCGCTCTCGTCTCTCAGGTACGCATATCGGATGCACTTGCGTCGTGTGCAACGCACATGTTGTCAGCTGCAAAGTTTAACTTTCCGTACAAAGTACACCTTCAGACGTCCCTTTTCGTATGATCGCCGCGTGTCATCATCTTAAAAGGTCAAAACCTTCTTTTGCGTCAGGATATCGTCGTCATAATATTATTTACATGGTGATTCTGACGGCGAAAATCAATCCATTCCCATTTTTCCCCCGTCCTAGCTGAAACAACTTTTGCGCGTCTGGATGCATGCCTTCAAAAGCCTACCCGCACACACACATACGCCCTGCTAATCCCTGGGCCAGTAAAGAACAGAGCACCAATCCTGTCCGGTCAAAGTGTTGGATCCCACGCTGGCCTAGGGTTAATCATAGCCATCCCTTATGTCGGTCTGGCAAAGATATGAGATGCAGAAAATGCCGTTGTTACTGGCCTTAAAACAGCCCTCAAACCCCCGTACATATCTTTTCCAGCGAAATAGCCTGCACGCGTCTCTCACCCCGTCCCCTATGCTACTCCCACTTCGCTGCTAGGCGCGCGAGATGATGCCCATTTGGCGCGCGTGGCGTCGTACGCTCGTACTATACGAGAACAGCTGATGGGTGCACGGTGAGCCATGTCGTACAGGCCCTTTGGGCCCAAGGGGTCGCTCCAGGGGGGGGGTAGGCGGGGGAGGAAAGAGGGGGTTCATGAGTTTGTTGTGGTGTCGGGGGGAAAACCTCTTTCGTTCTTTTTTGTGGGGGGAAGGGGAGGGGGGTTCCGGGAGGAGGTGAAGTCGGGAAAACCCTGAAACCCAAACCTTCGCTCTCCCCCCGCCCCCGCCAACGTTGCCCCTAAATGATGAACCAGGAGGGGTTTGTTTCCTGTGTGTCCGATTTGTACTTTTTAAAGTGGCGTTTTTGGGGTCTGTTGGGATTTTATATATGGGTTGTTTATTACCTCTCTTTATTACCATTATGACCAGCACTGCCTCAAGAGGCAATGCGCCCGTACGGCCATTTCTGTTTGGGACAGTACTTGTATGGAGGTGACAACAACTTGATGATGATGATGATGGTGTAGATGATGATGACGACGACGATGATGTAGATGACGATGGTAGACGATTTTCTTTCCTGTTGGAAAAGCGTTCCCTGGCTGACGTGTCAACACCAACCTGACCACCCCCGAACTACCGAACCCAACTGCCTGCCGTACAGGGAGGAAATTCAGTCGGACGGCGGGCAGAGCCACCTGGAGGTCGCGCTGTGGCACTTGATGGAGATCTTTTTCGTGGACGCGCCTCGCCATGAGGGCAACCTGGGGGAGGCGAGTGCGTGTGGCTACGTGTGTGTGTATTTGTGTGTGTGTGTGTTTGCGTGTATTTGTGTGTGTGTGTAATTGTGTGTGTGTGTATCTCTCTAATTCCGGTGCAGCCCTTGTGTCCGCATTTCAATCCACTCTCCTTTGTCAGTTTTTTCTCAGTCTTGACTCTGTTGCTTGACTTGACTTTTTTATTCCCGTTTCAAATCGGTTTTGCGTTTTAATGTACTTGCTTTGTTCCTCTTAACTTCTTCAAACCTGAACCCCGCTAAGCGGGGCTGGTGTCTAGAAGGAGCCCGCCACGGAAGAAGCTCCTTGACATGACAGCTTCATTCTCGTTCGTGGCTCGTCTGCTCCTTCTCGCGCGCTCGCCCCCTTTTCCAGGACTTTGTCCAATGGCTTGCGTCACATTCCGAAGTTCTGGAGGTGGTTTCGGAGCGGGTTCCCCTGGCCAAGCGGCTGCAGGACGTGGTTTCCTCCCCTTCCCCCGACACCCACCCCGGCTACTGGGGCGTGCTTCGCCGCCTGGCGGCACTGGGTCGCATCTCCGAGGCCATGGAACTGTTGGACTGCCATGAAGTGCGGAGAGCGGTGACGGGAGGGGGGCAGAGAGGCGGGGGGGCCGCGGCGGCGGCGGCGCTGCAGCAGCCCGGTGTGCGGGCGCAGGTGAGGGCGGGACAGTGGGTGGGGACTTGGAGCTGGGGAAGATAGGTACAGGGAAGGGTACAGGGAAGGGTGTACAGGGAAGGGTGTACAGGGAGGGGTACAGGGAAGGGGAAGGGGAAGGGGAAGGGTACAGGGAAGGGTGTACAGGGAGGGGTACAGGGAAGGGTGTATGTATGTATGTGTGTTTTTGTGTGCTAATGGTCGCGTGTGTATGTATGTGTGTTTCTGGGGGGGAAGGGGGAGGGCGGCGGCGCCGGCGGAGGGTGGATGGATGGGTACGCCCGCATTCTTATTACGTTATCACACCACCACACCTCCCTCCGCTTCCTCCTTCCTCCTCCTCGCCAACCACCACCCCACAGCATCACCCGTCTGTGGCCCGTCTTATTCCGTCCTACCGCCACCTATTAAAGAGACAACCGCCTTTCACCCGCTTGCACTCCCGTGTTCCCGTACTCCCGTATTCCCGTACTCCCGTGTTCCCGTACTCCCGTACGCCCCGGCGCAGGTTGAGCTCACGGATTGTTTGTTCGTGTTGTTGAAGCGGCTGCCCCGCCTGGCCCCCTCGTCCGGCTGCCGGGACCCCCGGGCGCATTCCTCTCTGGCGGACTTCGCGGCCGCGCGGGCGGTGTGGCTGCGGGAGGTTCAGGACATTGCGGGCTCGGAGGGGCTGTTCGCGGCGGCGGGGGCGGCGAGCCGGCGCACGGCGGAGGGTGTGTGTGTGGTCCTTGGGAGTGGCGGGGTGGTGGTGGGGGGGGGGGTGGTGGGGCGGGACGGGGTGGAAGTGTGTAAAATTCCGGGCTATACTGGGCGGTTGCTTTTGACGAGTCCGTTCCCCGGGACGGATGCATGAAGGGGTTTGACAAGGAGCGGGGTGGAGTGGAGTGTAGAGGGTGTAGAGGGGGTGTGTTGGAGTGGAGTGGAGTGGAGTGGAGTGGAGTGGGGTGTGTAAGGGGGGGGTCAGGGTTGCTTGTTTAGGATTCGCGGAATGACCTTGTGAGTGTATAGTATGTATGCATCATGCAGACTAGTAAGTGTTTTTTCTTTAAGCAAGTGAGCAGGCTGAAGAACTGCCGATGTGTCCTTCAAATGCCAGAAAAGATGATCTCGGGGCGATGATGTTTGAGACACATCATGTACTTGGCCGCCACTAGTAGTGCGACCGCCGCCGCCGACCGTTACCCATTGCATTTCACAATGGCGCAGGCGTACGGTCCGTACTGGCGATTCTGTTGGGTCAGCCAACTGCCCTCCGAGCCGCAACTCGCGACTGGTTGGAGCTGGCGGCGGCGGAGGTCGTACATCGCCAGGCGGGGGGTGTGGTGGCGGCGAACCAGCTGAAGGCGCTGTTGGCGGAATGCCAGGCGGCCGTGGCGGCGGCTCGACGGGAGGGGGAGGGGGAAGGCGGGAGTGGGGGTGGGGGGGACAGCAGCGGGCTGCTGAATTGGCTGGCGGGGCTGTTGGAGGTGAGTGGGGTTTTGGAGGCGGGCGGATAGGGAGGGGGAGGGAAGACGAATAACGAACGCGGTGAAGCTGCTGCCAGGATGGAATGAAGGGGCGACCGGGACCGGGGGGGGGATGAGCTGTGATTCCGGTGGTAAAAACCACCGATTTGAACCCTATCTTTGGGGTTGGGAGCAGATTCATTCATTGGAATGTCCGCCGCCCGTGTGTCTCTCCACGTTCGCGTTCATATTGTTCACATCTGTGCGTTCGCGCTTTAAATCCGCATGCGTTGTTGTTGCCGCTGCTGTTGTTGCGTGCGCCCTACAAAGCCGTGTGTGGTTGGCTGGTTGTGCCTGCGCCCCTGTGTGTGTTTGTATGTATGTCTTCTGAGCAGGCCCTGACTGAAATGGACATTGCTGGTGTGGTTTCGGAGCTCACCACCAGCGGTCTGGGATTGGGCTGGCTGTTGGCTCACTCGCTGGAGCTGATGGCGGCCTACCCGGCCGGGGGAGGAGGAGGAGGAGGAGGGGGGGCGGCTCGGGCTGGAGGCGGTGGCGGCGGAGTGCTAACTCAGCGCCTGGCTGTTTCAGGATGCGACCAGGTGTGCGTGTGCGTGTGTGTTTGGGGGGGGAGACGGCTGTAGATTTAGGGGTCGTAGGTGTGTGTGGGGGGTAAATGAGGAGGGGGGACAGGATTGCCTGACGAGATGAGCCTTGTTGTCCTGCATTTTCCAACTTTTTGCCGTATTTTCTGTACCGTATTGCATGTCTGGCCTCTTGTCGTACATTACGCTGGACCTCGCGTGTGTGTGTTTTCCAGCTTTTTCGTGTCTTGTTATTTAAGCCATCCGCGCCTCTCCCCCACCCACATATACACATGCACATGCCCACGGGACATACATACATACGTACGTGCAGATGGAGTACTTTCGTTTGGCCTGGGCGGATTCCCTGCTACCCAACTGTATGAGTGGCGGTTGGCAGTTGGTGTTGCAGTACCTAGCGTGGTGCCCGCAGCACGGCGCAGCGGCGGTGGAGGCGCTCATGGAGGCGCTGCCGGTAAGGGGGGAGAGGGGGAAAACACACGTGCGTGCTAGTGTGTATATCGTGTGCGTGTGTATGTGTAATGTTACAGAGTGGGAGGCTTCTGGGCCGCTTTATCACATTGTAAGTTCTACGATTTATCACCTTATAGCACCATTCACCACTACCACACTGTCTTCGCCATACGAACAGTAAGTCCAAGGCGGCGGATCCAGCCTTCAGGGACCCCTCCTCATCCATTCACCCGAACAACCGTAGAGACGGAGGGTTCGGCAATCGCCACCAATCCAGCGTGCGAATCCAGTCCAACAACTGTGACCTCAACTCCACATCTCAGCAGCTAGCCATAATCTCGCGCTCCCGACTAATTCGGGGGTCTCCCCGGGAATCGAACCCTGGACCTTAAACCGCTAATTGCAGTAGTGTCAGCCCAGCCCAGCCCAGACCAGACCAGTGTGTATGTGTGTGTGTGTGAGTATATGTGTGTATATGTCTGTGTTTGTAATTGCACCGGGCACTTCCTCCATCCGCTCCCCGTAGAACGCTATACTCCGACAGCCGGACGGGAGTCTTTTTGCGTTCTGCGAATTTATGACCCCCTACCCGACCTCATTGAGTCTGATTTTCCTTGCTACTACTCTATAAAAGTAACCCGGCGTGCTGGGTTTTCCCCGGCTGTTTCCCCCTCTTCCCGTCCCCCTCTTCCCGTCCCCATCCTCCCGTCCCCAATCCCCCTCAAGGTTGACAGTCGGGATGTTCGTACATTGGAAAAGGCACTGGCTGCGTGTCGGCGTTTGGGACTGGGTGGTTCGGCGGCCGTGTTGTGTCGTATGGCGGGTGAGCGTTACGAGTGTGTGCGTATGTACGTGTCTCTGTTCCCACCCCACATGTCGTGTATCCCCCGCCCGCGGCTCTTGAACCCCCCTCCATACCGTCCTTCCAACCCCCCTTTCCCCAGTCACCTCCCCCCGCTCACCCCGCCACCTCCGTCCCTCCTTAACGCCGACATGTGACCCTTGCGTCTTGCTTTCTGCATGTCTTATTTGATGTACGACGATTGCACTTATGGATTGCCACATGCCCTAGCAAATCCTAGGTAGTAGACTATTGACAGATTCTTCAAATTCTCCAGATTTCTACATATACAAAATAACGTTTTTGTAAAATTACCCGGAATCTATCATTTCCTGATAAAGCTCATGTCCCTCGCGAGTTCTCCCCCCTCCCCCATTCTTGACTTCCCCATCCCTCCCCCCCAAACCCCGCAACCCTCCGCAACCCTCCGCCCCCGCCCCACACGGGGTTCAATGGCACTACAATAACAATGACAATCACACACACATCAGGTGTGGACGCTCTCAGTCGGGGCCACCTGGGCAGCGGAGTGCAGTGGATGGTTCGTGCAGGTGACACCCGCCGTACAGCCGCCGCGCTGCAGCTGGTCGGGGTTGCGGTGGAGGAGGCTCTGCTGGCGCGACTCGGTATCTACCAGGCGGGGGCCTTGGCGCTGCCGGGGGGCGGCGAGCTGGAGGCGTTGCTGGAGTGGCTGCCCGTGGTTGGAGGGGAAGCGGGCGGCGGGGGAGGAGAGGAGGCGGCAGGAGGAGGAGGAGGAGGGGGAGGAGGGGGTCGCGGGCTGACGTCATTCCTAGGGGATGTGCTGCGGCTCAGTCAGGCGATGGGAGCACTTGCGGCGGCTCGAGACTCGGGGGTGAGCGAGCTTGCGGGCTTTGGGGGGGAGGAGGGATGGTTTCAGGCGGGCCTGGCGCGGTTTTATGGTTTTGGGTGTTGATATGAGAGAAAGGAAGGCTCTTGTTGGCGATTTAGAGGAGGTGATGGGTTGGGCTGGGAAGGGGAGGGGGGAGGGGGGATTTGAGGTATGCACGCGGAGACGAAGAGGGAAGAAAGGAGAAATGGGCCCGTGGAGAGGGTGGGGGGGGAGAAGGGCTGCACATGTCGTGTCTTGGGGTTTTGCGCTGCGCCACTGCGCCTTGAGAGCCTCCGCCGTCCCTCCCACTCCCTTTTCCTCTTTTTGCCCTGTGCTTTCTCTTGGGGACCCCGTCCGTCTGCGCCTCTTCTAGCCTTCCGGCGGTCTGCCTCTCCATCGGCACCTGGATTCAGAGGAGCCAAGGGCCAGGGCCCGCTTAACCCTTTTTGCCTTCCGCCGTGCATTTCCCGTCGCCACGACCTCCTCCGCGTACTCATTCGCATTTCCCCCCACACACACACATACACACACACACACGCGCGCGCGCGAGCACAACCCGTGTCCGACTGCCATCCTGGTTTTCACCGCAGGCGCCGCCCGACGACCCCGCTACCCTTGGGTCACTCGCGGCCGGCCACGCCGCCTTCATGTCCATGGTCCGCCGCCGTACACCGCCGCGGCGCCTCTGCTTGCCGCTGCTCTTCTACGCCATCCCGCTTCTGGAAGCTTCCGCCGGTGGCGGCCGCCTCTTCAGTACGGATGACGTACAGCTGCTGCGGCAATGGGCCAGCGACTGCGCGCGCGGCGCCGTCGCCACAAGCATTGGCACGGCCGCCGGCAGCGGCGGTAGCGGCGGCACCGGTGGACCCATGGGCGCCCTGGCGGCGATGCTAAGGGTTCACGACCGCTACGCGAGGGACGTACAGCTGGCGCTTGTACGGGCGACGGCACGTTCCCACGTGCTGCAGTACAGTGGTGGCGGAAGCGGTTGCGGCGGCGCTTTGGGCGGTTTGGGTGGCAGCGGCGGTGTTGGCGCCGCCGCTGCAGGTGGCGGCGGCGGCGGCGGTGCAGCTCTGATGCTGCCGTCGTGAGAGCAGCCGAGGCTATGACTGGGTGGTGCCGCGGCATGAGGCCAATATCGATAAGAGCTGGCCGGGCCTTGTGCGTTATTGAAGGGGAGTTTTAGGCGAAGCAGCGGGAAGCAGCGGGGTCCGGTGGGTAGGCTGCGTGGAAAGAAGACGCTGTAGTGAAGTGTGGAAGTGAAAGGAGTGTGTGTGGATGGGAAGTGGTTGGGGGGAGGCTCCTGTAGAGCATCCAGCCTACACGCACATGTGGTGATGGTGATAAAGAGGTGGTGATAAGAGGTGGTGGTGGTGGTGATAAGAGGTGGTGGTGATATGCGGGGCCCTCGTTACAAAAGCCGTGTTGCCCTGGTGACGTCACACCATCACGTGAAAGGCGGGGGAGGGGGGGGGGCTTTGTTCCCCTCTTTGGGAAAAAGAAAGATTAGGAAGAAGGGAGAGGAGGAAGGGGGTATGGGGGATGGATGCTCTGCGCCTCGCGAGGGCGAGAGCATGGCTGGTGGCGGTTGGGCGGCTGGGGCAGAGCTGTTGGAGGAGGTCCGTTAGAGCCATGTGATGGTGTGTGTTTCAAGACGACTAACTAACGAGACTTGATGATGCGATGTGGATATATGTGTGGATATAATACCGTATGACGCGGTTGGTGAGCTAGGGGCTGGGAAAGAGGACGGCGAGGGGGAGGGCATGGCGGCGGGTGGCTTTGCTCGGTGGCGCCTGCTGCAATGGCCTTTTAGGGGAGTTTCCGGGGGGTGGTTGTGTCGGTGGTTGTAACGGTAGTGCCGACTTGATGTGTGGTTGAGGTTGGAGGGTTTCCAGCGGATCCAGGACGTGCGGAGGTTGTTAACGACAAATGACGATTGTGGTTTTCACATAGGACACAGACGGACATACGAACGGACAGGCGGCAATACGCCTACATAGGACCACTGGCATTGAACATTGAGTACATTTTGCCTTAGGGTTAACCCTAACCCTGCTGCAACGTTGCAGCAGGGCCCCTAAGTGTCACCCAGGTGTCCTTGGCCAGTAAGAAAAGCAAATTGGCAGGTAGGTACTAACCCTAAGTACTTTGATGTAAGAGTGCGTCTCCTAGGGGGGAGAGAAAGGGGAAGCCATCCGCGGGTAAGTGGGGTTGGACAAGACCACCTAACATGACCATTTCCATGTCGAAATTAAACATGCGGTGTCGTCTAAGGTGCTGCTGCTGCTGCTTCACAAGAAGGAGTTGACAAGCGCAAGGAACGTCCCGTACCCTACAGAATCCTCAACACCGCCCAAAACCGTCACGTCACTTCCAACCTTCGTGCTGAAGCACAACCACCTCTTTTCCGGACTCCTAGCTGCTAAGCCGATTCGCAACCTTGCATAAGAACCCCCCCTCTACCTCCCTCCCTCCTCCGTAAAACCTCTATCAAGGCCTACGCCGCGATCACGTCCAGAACTGGCTCCTCTCTTGCCCTCCCCACTTTTTCCCCCGAACAAAAAACACCAAACAGTGGGCCTGCACACGCGCACTGCCGGGATGGTCTATGGCGCGGGCGCACGTACGTCACAACGTCCGGCAATGCTTTCCAAGTTCTATCTCGACGACGTCCCGATAAAATAATCACCGTTTCGAAAAATTACTCGCGAATGTGCCTCGCGTATTCCTGCCTCACCTCTGTGGCAGGGCGGGGCGGGAACCCCGCAACCTTCCCCTTATTTCTCTGCATCCACAATCGTCCGAGGAATCAAAGCTAGGTGGAAGAATTACATATCCGGTGTACAATATGCTGCTGGGAAGATTTAAGTTATCGCTGGCAAAGCCTCACGTGCCCCTGCCTCTGAAAGCCCTGGAACTACCGCCCCCACCACTGCCGAACCGGCGCGACCCCCCCCC